CCTGATGAAAGACGGTGACAAGAACAACGACGGCCGCATTGACTTCGACGGTGAGGGCCGCGACAGCTTGGTGGCGGTGGGCCGGGGGCCGGGGGGGGGGGGCGCGCCACGCGGGAACGTCCGGGGCGTGGCACCCACATGAACATCCTTGGCTTTGTGGGCAGGGTGGGGAGCTCTCGGCGGTTTTGTGCAAGATTTCCTCCCCCTCTCCTTCCCCGCAGAGTTCCTGAAGATGATGGAAGGCGTGCAGTAAGAAGCCGGCTTCTCCTCTGCCCCGACCGCGCGTCCCTCGGGCCAGGGCGGTGCCACCCCGCCCCGTCCCACTCTCCGCCCCGGGAGGGAGGCGCGGCCCCTGCTGGCTCTGTGTCCACAAAGAATAAAAACAGACGCTGAGAAGCACGTAGCCTGAGTGAGGGGAGGAGCAGGGGAGTGGGTGTCATGGCCCGCCGGGCTGGGCCGTGGTCCAGGGCGCCACCCGAGCGCACTTGGGATCCGAGGAGGGGCGACCCGAGTTGCCTGACGCGCCGACGCGCTGGTCAGGTTCCCGGCCGGCTCCCGGTAGCTGGCGCTGGGCGTGGGCAGCTCGGCCGACGGGCTGCGGTGGCGCCTGGCGCTGGAGGAGGGTGGCCGGGGCCTTGGGGCTGTCGGGGTGAGTGAGGGTGCCTGGGATGGGGGTAGGGTGAGGGCGCCGCAGGCGACCGAGGCCCCTTTCCTTCCCTACCGTCCCTCCTTTCTGGAGCCTTTTTGGGTCTTCGGTGCAGACTGCCGGGGTGGGGAGGGAAAGGGGAGTATCCGTCCGTTCCAGGCAGCATTCGTTCCTGCTTGACTTTTTCTACTTCGCCTGTTCTGACGTCTTCGTCTCCACCCTGGACCCCTGCCTCCAGCCCCGGCCAACGCGCTCAACGGCCGTCAGCACGATGGAGCCAAAAGAAATTTGACCTTGCTCCTCCCCAGTTGAAAGACCTTCAAGGCTCCCCATTGCTTCTAGAATCCAATCCAAATTCCTTTCCCCTCCTTCCCTCCCCTCTGGGCTCCAGTCACGCTGGGCGATTTGTCACTCCTGCCCTGGACAGTGCGGGTGCACTTTCAAGCCTTCTGGCTTTTGCTCCTGCCTTCTCCCTCCTTGGAATGCCCTTCCTCCTCTAAAAAGCCTGGCAAGTTTCTCAGCCCAGCTCAGATACCACGTCAAAGATACCAGGACCCAGCTCAGACACCACCTTCTCCCTTGATCCCTTCTCCCACTGGCTGTGCTCTGGCTTCTGTAACTCTTTGTGCACGACTCAATCACAGCAGGCAGCAGGTCAAAGCTAATGCCGTGCAGTGGTGCCTTAGCTTTAGAGGCAGGGTGCCTCTGAATGAGTTCGAACCCTCACTGCCATGACAGACCACTCTGTAATTCAGTTTCCTACTCTGTAAAATGGGGATAATGAGAATTATCACAACCGTGCAGGGTTGTGAGAACAAGTTAGTTTGTTAGTGCAGAGCACTTAGAACAGAGTGTGACACGTACTAATGCTATTATTATTTTTAAATGTTTATTTTAACAAATAAGTACATTTGAGAGCCCAACGTGGGGCTCGAACTCTCGAACGGTGAGATCCTGACCTGAGTCGGAGTCAGACGCTTAACCCAACCGAGCCACCCAGGAGCCCCACTAATGCCGTTATTAATATCACTACTACCACGTTGAAACCCTGACTTGTGCGGTTATTCATCGCTACAGTCCTCCCTTTCCAGTTCCTTCGTGTTCTTGGCTCCCCTTTCTGAGGCATTCATGTTTCCCAGTTTCTATTTCCAGCCGGGGTCAGCACTCATCACCAGGACCGCTTGCTGTGTGCCGTGCCTTGCGGGCCTGTCTGATTGATGCACACAACCCTAGAGGCAGGCAGAGGCTGTTCTCTCCGTTTTACAGCGGAGGAAGGCGGTGACGTACCCGGGCACACACATGTGGAAACAGGAGCAAGGCTCTTAAGTGTGGCCCCACCTACCTGTGGACAGTTCTCCCTAGCTGCCCTTAGAACTTCACACCCGTCCTGCTCTAATCTCATAAATTCCCCATCTCAGAGATGGCACCCTGGAGTTCTGGAGCCGCCTTCTCGCCCGCAGTTTGCTCTGGCCTGCTGCTTTCCTTCTGTCTCCTTACTCTTTTATCCGTCCTCTCGGAGCCCGCTCGGTGTTGTGACTCAGAACAGTAGTTAACCTCCTGGCCGTTCCCTCCCCTCAAGGCTGCCGGAAGCAGCTTTCTGACACCAAACCCTACTCAAGGCTTTATTAGGTGCCTCAAGGTAAAGCCCCTGTATTTTATTATTTTTACTTTTTTAAAGTTTATTTATTTTGAGAGAGAGAGAGAGAGTGAGAGGACTGAGAGCAGGAGGGGCAGAGAGAGAGAATCCCAAGCAGGCTCCATGCTATCAGCAGAGTCTGGCGTGGGGCTCGAACTCATGAACCATAAGGTAATGACCTGAGCTGAAACCAAGAGTCAGTCGCTTAACTGACTGAGCCGCCCGGGTGCCCCAGGACCTTCTCGGTAAAGGCCTTTAATTTAAAGGCCTTACAAGCCCTTTGCGACCTGACGTCCATGCCACTATGCCACTATTCCATGCTGCTGAACTTCTTGCTATCCAAGCAGTGTGCTCCCTTCCTTATCCCTCCCTCATGGCCCAGTCCGTTCTCCAGAAAGCCCTCCTTGATTCTCCTGGTCTTTGTGCCCCACCTCTGAGCTTTCATAGTACCCAACATCTAAGGAGGGCTTACCACATGCCAGGCACTACTCTAAGGTCTGTCTATCCTATGAGGTAGCTACTAATATTTCCATTTTACAGAGTGGTTTAGTCTAAATGTATGCAAGTAACAGGGAGGGGTGTGGGGATTCTAACAATTGTTCTGCCTGTGAGGTCTGAGCTCTTAACCACCACTCTTATGGCACTTATTCAACCCCCACTGACCTGCCTGTCTGCCCCCTGAACTTCAGCCTCTGAGGACAGGACTGTGTTTTTCCCCCTGCTTGATCCCCAGCCCCAAGCACAGGGCTTGTACTGCAGGCACTCAGTAATGGTATGGGGCGAATGGGAACAATACCTTCTCCGTCTTGTTGCAAGTGCCAGAAACCTAAATCAAATGGACTTAAACTAAAAAGGGATTTGCTGGCTCACGAAACTGGGATGCTAAGGCGTCAGCTGGAGGCCAGTCTCAATGTCACCTCCATCTCCCAGCTACTGGTCTCTGCTTGGCTTTCTCCCATCTGCAATTGTCTGCACCAGCTGCCCAGACTCCCTCCTCTTTTAAGCAACCCTGTTAGTAAAATCATTCTACTTTCTCCCAGGGATTAATTCTAAGGAACACTCTGATTGGTTCTGAGCTATAGTCCACCCCTGTGACTGACACAAGGCAGGCCATGTGGCCATCTGGGTGGCCCAACAATTGGATCAAGGACCACGTGGAGAAGCCTCCTAATGCAGACAAAAAAATATACCCGCCTTGGCCAGCATTTATTTAGTAAGAACCATCTTAGTGCTACTTTCTGAGTTGTGTTCTTAGACATCCTCTAGTCACTATTTTCAAAGTTGAGAGAGCCTCAGAATCCCGGAGTGCTTGTTGGGGCCAAGAATTTGCATTTCTAACAAGTTCCAGGTGGAAGGGCCATGCCTTGAGAACACCGCTCATCTTCAACTTCGGGAGGAATGCAGACCCTCAGGCCCCACACAGACCCACTGAATCAGCATTTGCATTGGAGGTAGAGCCCAGGCAGACTTCTCTGCACATCCGATTGGGCAGCACTGCCGGGAGAGCTAGCCACACAGTGTTATCCAAATCCCATCCCAGATCCACAGGCCACTTGTCACCTGCCTGCTCCGTGGGGGCACAGAGCAGGGAAGGAGCCTGGGCTGGCAGGAATAAAAGTAGAGAACCTTCCTGATGCCTCCCCCCCCCCCCCCCCCAAGGCCTGCACAGTCAGCTGCTGGCAGAGCTGGGTGAGGCCAAGACCCAGGCGGTGTTGGAGGGCATCTTGCTGCTGTGTTGGTCCACGTTGGAGATTTTCCTGCAGTACCTGGGCTGGGGCCATCACCTTACTCCACCCTTCCCCCTGCCCAGACCCCAACTGGTCAGCACAGGAGTTTCCTCTCAGGGCCCCAAAGGCTGGGGCCTGTGACAGGCCAATGGAGAGGGCCTAGGGGCTGGGGGCCTGGGCCAGTGGGTGCAGGAGCGGGAGGAATCGCTGGTGAGGAGTGGGTGAATGTGAGTGGGGGCATGGGGGGCCTGGGGTAAGGGGGGAGTCGGGGGCTGTCCTGAGGTCTCTGCCCGGGAAGAGGCATTTCCGGGCTGTCTCCCAGACCCCAGGCCTGCTTAGGGTGAGCTGAGTGCTTCCCTTTTCCTTTTTCAGGACCAGAACATCCCGCCATAACGTAGGTGGCTGGTCCTCACCTCCCAACCCCCTCCTGTGTGCACGTACACGCTTTCTTTTTTAATTTTTTTTTTTAACATTTATTTTTGAGACAGAGAGAGACAGAGCATGAACGGGGGAGGGGCAGAGAGAGGGAAGACACAGAATCTGAAACAGGCTCTAGGCTTTGAGCCGTCAGCACAGAGCCCGATGTGGGGCTCAAACTCACGGACCACGAGATCGTGACCTGAGCTGAAGTCAGACGCTTAACCGACTGAGCCACCCAGGCGCCCCCGTACACGCTTTCTGATTCAGCCTCATCTGTAACTGAGCTGGGCAGCTCCAGTATCCACTGACGTCCCTGGTTCATGTCACAACTCTACAGAGGCATTTTGTGAGACCCATCTTACAGGTGAGGAATCAGATGCAGTCATGAAATGACTAAGCTCATAGAGGAAGAACGAGTCCTCGTCACCCCTGCGCAGCCACACAGCCTCTCAGCTGCTTCTAGTCCCTGGAGAGGAGCAGGGCAAGGGCCTGGACCCTACTCCACCCATGCTGAACACTCCCAACCCTGGGGAAATTACAAGGCAACTTGTACACAAAAAACAAAAAAAAAAACCCAACCAATGTATTTATTTAATATATTCATCACAAGGGCTCAACCAGACACTTAATTTAAAAAACAGAAACAAAACAAAAATAACACCACAGTTTAAGGTACAGAGTCCTAGGCAGAAATGAAGGAAAGGACAGACCATCTAAGGAGAAAATAAAAAGACAACACAAGGAAAGAGGCTAGACAGTCAGGGTTCTTGGCTGGAGACCTGCTTTGAGTAGGTTTCTTGCAGATACTTCTTGAATGCTGAAAGAGAACAGGCAGGTATCAGGGAGTGGTGGGGACGGGGATTAAGATGCACAGGAGGGCAAGCAAGGATACAAAATCTGGGGAGCTGGAGAGGATTTCTTAGTACAACAGAGTCCCTTTTGCTGCCCACCCAGTCAGGTCTTGGGGAGGGGTTCTGCTTCCAGTGAGGCTGGGGAGGTGACTGGGGGGCCTCAGTGAGCAAATCGTTTGCACAAAGCTTTGCCTTCTACTTAAAAAGCCCCTCAACCTACATTAACGTGGAAAGAGTTTCCTGATTTTTATAGCAAACAGGCAAATCAGAAAACACCAAGGCAGAGGCAGAAGTGGATTCCCTAGGTTGACATCCACTCCCAACCCAGTCCTCAGGACACAATCCCCCAAGTCACCAAGATCCTTCTGTGTGAGGGAGCCTTTGAAGGCTGGGGAGGGATCACCCGGTGCCGGGAAAGGATGGAGGACCCACCTGTGGGGTTTTTCCAGAGCTCAGCAGCATGTGTGTTCAAAGGGCTATCGATGTTAGGTTCTGTGGACGGACAGAAAGAGAATGATCAGTAGGGGTAGAAGAGGCTGGCCTGGGGGAATCCCGGGAGGCCTGACAGCTTCCCGGGTTCAGGGGACGGGCTGGTCTCAGAAGTCACCTCCTAGCAGGCTCTGGATGGACAGCAGGATGGTCCTGACATCATACAAGGCAGACCACTTGTCCTTCAGGATGTCCAAGCAGATGTTACCCTGGGTGTCCACGTTGGGGTGGTAGCAGGGCGTGAGGAACTTGACCGTGGGCGCATTGTAAGGGTAGCCACTGGGGAACTCCAGGGAGAGTTTATACCTCAGGTCCTCGTATACCTGGCATCGGAGAAACAGGTGGGGAGTATACCTCCCACCCTGAGCCTCACAGCCCAACCCAAGCCCCAGAAAGGGGCTTGCTAGGACCTTTGAGTTTATCTGGGACTTGACAAAAGACAAAGTGTTGCAATGGCTCTGGTTCTTTCTCGCTTATCTGGCAGGGACATCAGTGATCCTTGTCCTACAGATAAGGGGCATAAACTGGCATCCTGAGGGCTACCACAGCTGTGCTTTAGTCAGTTATAACATTAGATACTAACATGTAAAAACCAGGATGTTTTAGACATATATCCAGATTTTTTTATTTTTTAAAAGATTTTATTTTTACGTAATTGCTATACCCAACGTGGGTACAGACACAACCCCAAGATCGAGTCACACGTTACACTGACTGAGCCAGCCAGGCACTCGTGGATTCTGACCAATCGTAAACCAGATGTGGAGCAGGGCGCCTGGGTGGCTCAGTCGGTTAAGCGTCCGACTTTGGCTCAGGTCATGAACTTGCGGTTTGTGAGTTTGAGCCCTGCACTGGGCTCTGTGCTGACAGCTCAGGGCCTGGAGCCTGCTTCGGATTCGGTGTCTCCCTCTCTCTCTGCCCCTAACCCATTCGCATTCTGTCTCGGTCTCTCTCAAAAGTAAATAAACATTAAAAAAAATTAAAAATAAAATACCCCGAAACGCACCAACCAAAACCCAGACGTGCAGCAATGGCAAGCTGCCATCTTGGGACTTACTTGAGCCCTTTCATCGGCCAAAGTCCTCATGTACCCTCCATTCTCCTTTTTGTCTGGCCCCCTATAGGCACTTAAGATGGGAAGCCCTGCTTTAAACCCAACCTCTTACTGTACAGAGGGAGAGACGAGGCCATGGGCTCAGAGCACAAGAACACAACAGGGGAACGTCCTGCCGGGCTGAAGACTTGAAGCTGACCTGCACTTGGATTTCTCTTCCTACCTCTCCCCAGACCCAGCCAAGTCACACTCACCGACCTCAACCCTACACTTACTGTGCCAGCTGCTCCATGGATGGTCCCCACCCATTTGAAAAGGTTGTCGGATTCAGGGAAGGCAGAAATTCCTTTGTCACCAGACATCTGGGGGAAGAAACAACAGCTGCTGGGCTGCAGCCTACACTTTTAGGGGTCAGTGGGTGAACTCCTTCCTCTGAAGCGCATCACATTTTGATCCAAAATAAAGCAACCAGACCAAATTGACAGGCTTTTCTGGGGAAGCGATTCAGTTCTTGGGGGCTGAACCTTCCCCTTTGGGGAGGGGTACTGGGTATGTTAAGGAGAGAGGGGTTATGCAGAGAAGCAGAAGGGAGCTCTGTACTTCCAATCCTGTTGGATGCTGGGAATTCAACTGAGCATGCCAGTGAGTGCTGGTTACACACAAAGCCTCCATTAGATCTACATAGGGGCACTGAAGGATTTGAGTTGATATTCAGGGTTAATGCAGACAAGGTCATCTGGGAAGAAGCATTTCAAAGTATGACAGGATTAAGAATATTAAGGGTGGAGAGCAGGGTATGGGTAAATCTCCAGGCAAGGAAGTAGGACCAGGCAGCATAGAGGGAAAGCCTTGTATGGTTTCAGGGAACTGTATTTTAGAGAGAACTTCATGGTGGGGGTGGGGGTGGGATGTGGAGTAGACACTGCTGGAAGGAAAGGTGTAGGTGGGGTATATTAACGTCTTCCCAGAAGGGCGCAAACTGGACTCATGTTTTAATCCCCTGCACTATGTCTAGCAAAGAACCTGATGTAGGAAAGTCGCTGATTAGCGGAGGTGAGTGGGAGGTGGAGGGTGGAAGAACTGGTTGGGGGTCTGGGCAGGTAGTCACTCACCATAAGGGTCATCAGCTCCTGCTGTAGCCTGCAAAATGAGTGCTGGGAGTCATCTGGGAGTCTGGAGGAGCCAGGGCTCCAGGCGGTGCTTCTCCCCCCACCCCAATCTCTCTGGAGGAGCTGTCATGGAGGGTTCCCCTACCCCGAGGTCAGACTTCAGCGGGGGCACACACTCATTTCCACTTCCATAGGAGGGTCCCAGTGAGTCCTCACCCTTCCTAATTCCAGGCTCCCGCAGGGCGGTCTGGCTTGTTCTTAACTCCCTCAGCTTCTCTGACGTCTCTCCCCGTGCCGGGTCCCAATTTCTACCCACTTCCGTCCCCACTCTCCCCCGCGCCAAGTCACCGAAGGTCCCAGTCACACTTTCATCTTGGCTTACCCGCGGAGGATCCTGGCAGCCTGCCTCCCCCTTCCGTCCTCCTTCGGGAGGCCCTCCCAGGGCGGCCCGAGCTCCCGGCGTGCCCTCCTGTCCCCGTATCTGCCCGCTCAAGGAGGAGGTGGGGGCCCGGAAGTCCGAGGTCTCGACCCCAAGGCCCAGGGCGTGCTGGGCACGGCCAGTGTTACCTCCACACCGCTCACCTCTTGCCCACGGGGCCCCGGGCAGCGCCCCCGCTGGGCTCGGCTCCTTTGCGGGCGGCGGCGACGCTGGCGGCGGCTGGGTCGCGGTTCTGGGAAGCCATCCGGACGGCGCAGGCAGGGAGACAGGAACTCGGAGAGCACAACTGCAACTGCAGGGCTGGGGGCCCGCCCGCCCGCGTTTGAATTGTAACCCTCCGGCGGCACCAGCCAATCAGCGGCTCGCTTGGGTTTGATCCAGCCAATGAGGAGCGCCAGAGCACTCTGTAACTGCGCAACTGCTAGACCCACCCTCCAGCGTACCACTATTGGGCGGCAGGAACAGACTTCTGATCGACGATTGGTAGAAGAGGCCGCCATTAACTAACGGATCTGCAGCGGATTGGTGGCCTTTGGAAAACGCCGACCATTAAAGGGCCAAGAAAAAGTCCACGTGGGATGATGAACCCTTCCAGGACAAACGCCGGGTTGCGGCGGGGAACGGCCGGGGCGGTCAGCCAGGATCCCTACGCCCAGGGGAAGGGAGCGTCCGGGTCTCGTCGACATTGGTACTTCTTCCCTCAACCCGGAAACCCCTGCTCCTCCATCTATTATAATGTCCCGGGCACCTCTGTAGGGACCTCTGAAAACTCATGCGAGGGGAATGATGGCCAGGAGACTCTTAGAAACGGGCTCATAACGCTGCTCTCCAACCGTCCTCTGGGACCTCGGACACAACATTTCGTATCTTAACCTGTAAAACGGGGGGGGGGGGGGGGGGTTAATGAAAGCCTCTCCTCATTTTCTGGTCTGTCATCAACCCCTATGGTGCCAGCCATCACATTCTGGCACTTCGTCTATACCTTAGGGGATGAAGAAATAAGAGAGACAGGGAAGGTTAACAAAGCACATGATGTCCCCACCCTCGTCTCATAAAGCAGATAATGCTTGGGGCAGACTTCACTGGGTCTGACCTGGAATGGGGGAGGGTAGCTGGTCATCTTTTCCTGTGCCCCCTTCTTCTAGAGCCCTTGGTAATCCGTCCATCCCTACAATGCAGACCACACAGCAAGCTCACTATGTTTATTACAAACTGTTTAATTGCTTCTTAACCCGATAACTTTACAAATATAGAACCATGTGCCATTCTGGGGGTGCTCTGTAATGAGTCACTACAGACTAGCCCAGGCACAGTTTAATGCCGCTGAGATCCGTCCAGGAGCAGTCCCGGCAGTGGCCTCAGCCATGTGGGGGAGGGCCTTGGGAGGAGGGCTGCCAAGTGTGGCTAGGGGACCTGGCTTCAGGTCTGAGGAGGTGCTTCAACAGCACGATGCTCATTCTCTGTCCGTAGTGTCTCCATGTACTTTCGCATCTTCTCAACCATCCAGGAGGGTAGCACAAAGGATTTCAGTTCCTCCAATTTCAGGTCCAGGCATCCTCTGGAACAGACATTGAGGAGAGTTGAAGCAAGGGAGGGTATGGGCCCAGGCTCACCCCAAGGGGCTACTGTGATGGGAGGGGAGAGGCAGGGGACAGATGACTGGTTTTACCTGTAGTCATCACTGGCAGCGAGGTCCCGGATGTCCTCCTCAATGAGGAGGTAGGCCTGAGGCAGGAGCAAAGGAGAGTGGTCACTGCCTTTGATTCAATTCAACTCAACAACACTTGATTAAACATGTGCTTAATGTCAGGGCTGGAAGGGACAGGGGCATGATTTACAATTTAGGAGGAGAGAGTGAGTAGGGAGAGACTGGGGAACAGCGCCCTGAGACCACCTTTCACACATATAGAAACTTTATGGGTTATAGGGAGTGGGACTGGTGACTTATTTACGGCCCTTTCCTCTTAAAAAAGGCCTCTGAGGTAGCTTAAAATGAAATGGCAAGAGAGCTAGCAAAACACATATGGAAACAGGAAATCAGGAGGAGGAAGCCATATGTTAACTCTAAGAACGAAGATAATCTGTTTTTGAACTTCATGGCAAAAGGGAAAACATGAGAAGCTGCACACACTGCTGTGGTCCTGGGGCCTACGGAACAGCTTTGGCACAATGCCATGGTCTGCAGTGGGAGAGCGCCCTCTCATGAGCTTACCATACAGGGGATGTCATCCATCACATGAGAAAGTCTTCTGTGAGAGACAGTTCTTTCTGCTCTTATGGTCAGGACTGTGTGTCCCCTGAGGAATCTGTTTTCACCTTATGAGCACTGTGAACTATCTAACAGATGAGGTGTCCTTGAGAAGGTTCTAGAGCTAAATTTGTGGTAACCCATGGAAGTGTGCTGGTTTATCAAGTCAGCAATTAAAAAAAATTAAAAAAAGCCAGCTGCTAGTCTTGCAGCGCCTGGGTGGCTCAGTTGGTTGAACATCCGACTCCGGCTCAGGTCATGATCTCATGGTTCGTGAGCTCGAGCTCAGCATCAGGCTTACTTCTCAGTGCAGAGCCTGCTTTGGATCCTCCGTCCCCCTCTCTCTGCCCCTCTCCTGCTCATGCTTTCTCTCTCAAAAATAAAAATTAAAAAAGAAATAAAGCTCGTCTTGCTTATTGCTTAACTTTAGATCCTGTCTTTCCTTTTTCCCATCTATTTCTTATTTATGTTATGTTGCGTTTTATGTATCAGTGCTAAGCTCCCTGACATCTTTTTTAAAAAAAAAATTTTTTTTTAAACATTTATTTATTTTTGAGACAGAGAGAGACAGAGCATGAATGGGGGAGGGTCAGAGAGAGAGGGAGACACAGAATCTGAAACAGGCTCCAGGCTCTGAGCAGTCAGCACAGAGCCCGACGAGGGGCTCAAACTCACATACCGCGAGATCATGACCTGAGCCGAAGTCGGACGCTTAACTGAGCCACCCAGGCGCCCCATCCCTGACATCTTCTTAAACAGGGGGTAGGAATAAGAAGAGTACTAAAAAGAAGATGGTTTTTTCTTGCCAGAAAGGAGATGGCATACTGGTTTGCAAAGCCACTGAGTTCTAACAGGTGCAGTCACAGTGGTGTGACTGAGGCCTCAGGTGGGGGACACTGCATGTGATGAACAAAACCCTGCTACTTTTAGAACACACACAGTGAGGATTTTCCCCAAGATTGTTGCTTGATATAAGCTAAGTACTCTTTAAGCAGAGGTGATTCTGGAAAGGGCTGCTAGGTGTGGCAAACAAATTTTACTGCATGTGCTAACTCCTACTGACAAGACGTGCTGCCTGGATCACTGTGTTGGGAAGATTCTATAGCTGTGTCTGGTAGAAGAGTGTTGTGATCCACGAGTGCAATCTGTCAATGGGCACATGAGGGGAAAGTAGCGTTAAGTGTGTCTGGTGCTTGACATTTTTAGGCACAGCGAATACAATCCAAATACAAGGGATGATGTGGGAGGCTGAGGGAGTGGTGTGTGGGAAGGGAATCCAGGGATTAAGTCCGACCTTCAGCATGAAGGAACGGGCCCTCTCCACCCTGACAAGTCTCCCTTTCCACATTCGTCAAGCTTTGAGTCTCACACAGAGGTAGGCCGGAACCTTGGTCCCCGGGCTGGGTGGGTCTCTGACATGGCACGTGTGAACAGTGCTTACCATCTTCCCTCCTGTTGCCCGCATGTGATGCTGCTCGGCCAGCCAGTGCTTGTCCTGGGGGTCAGCTGCGTACTGTGAGGGATGAAATCACAGACGTTAGCCTAGTGAGAGGAACTTTTCTCATTTGGTCCCAGAGCCATCTCTCGGTCCCTGAGTAGCTCTTACTAAGAAGACCTCGTCTCAGCCTGGTGGATGTCAGAGGGCTCGCCAACTTCTTCACAGCAAGTAGAGCTGAGCCCAGGAGGCCAGGGGTCGGGACCCCCATACTAGATCTTTAGCACGTCTAATCCCTACCCCTTCCTTTCTCAGAACACAGAACTCTGGCAACTGGTCAGACTGATGACTACTATTCTAGAGCTTAATTCCTCTTTAAAAAATGACCTGAGGTAGTTTATAACACATGTGAATGGTTATGGTGACCATTATTTTCTAAGACAAAAATCAGGACAGGTCAAGCTCTGGGGGAGGCAGAATAGTACTGCGGTGAAGAACCTGGTTTTGGAATTAGGTTTAAATTCTGGTTCCTGACCCTTAGTAGATGGTGTCAGCCTGGGCAGTAATTTCCTTGAGACTCGGTTTCTTCATCCGTGAAATGGTGTTCATACTTACCTCATCGGGTGCTCGGTAAGGATAAATGATATAGTGCATAAAAAGTAGGAAAGATAGTACCTGACACAGTAAGTGCTCAATAAAGGTAGGTTTTGTAAGACAGGCACAACATTTGAGATAGAGACAAAGCAGAGAAATCTGCATTGTTTCTCTTTGAGTTTAAATACTTATTTCATTTCCCAAGTAACATAAATATTAATCAGAAAATTTAAAAGTATGCACTTTCTGACCCAGCAATCTCACTTCTAGGGATG